TGGAAGACCTCCAACATCGAGCAGCTCCGACAACGTCGCTACGGTCCAGGATATCATCTTCACCGCAGTCGCCAAGGCGCGGGTTGATGTGTGGACCGGCGGTTCCTGGAATGAAAAGACCGATATTTTCTTCGTGAACGGTTGCGTGGCATCAAATCAGAATTTAATAAAATGTTACTTATACAGCCTCGAAAGTCAAGGAAGAAAAGTGTCTTTTTTACTGCCCCTCTCCCCAACCCCCCCCCCCCGCTCCTCAACACTGCATACACTCCACGTCCCTGAGACGGAATAGGCGGGGCATTTGAACACAGGGTACAGAATCATTGTGTGAAACACACGGGGGGGGTCATATTTGGTCGTTGGGAGAGGGGCTCGTGCGTTCGAGAGAATTTTGCTGTGTTGGGAAAAAACTTTTTCTGATTGTTGACTTATTGCGTGATTTTTCCTGTCTCATGTGTACTATTTATCTCCCCCTCTGGGTGAAAAACTGAAAAAAGTGGGAAATCGGTAGGTAAATGCTAGGGGGAGAAGGGAGGTTGTACCAATATCATTTAGGGGGGGGGTGGGGGGGGGGTCGTATTGACATTCTCTCCAGGAAGGGGGTCGTATCCTACACCACCATTTCACACATCACGATGCTGTACCCTTTTGAACATGGCATATTATGGGTTACTCATGGGATATTTCGGTTTCGGAACTGCCACCTTGTTTTGTGTTGGACGAAGACATGATCACATTTGTCTCAAAATGAAAATGCCTCACCAAAAGCCCCGCCACGCTTAGTTGAAGTACGCAGCCACGCCTACCGCATCTCAGGGATTTTGGGTGTATTAGGTTGACCGGAAAGTTTCCCGCCATTGAATTGGTGAGGAATCCAACGGCCAAGCTTTGCGACTTTACCAATCTTCTCCAGCCCAGATTCAACAGTTGATTGGGCATGGCCGAGCATCGCTGCAAGTTCCCTGGTAGTGGCGTACGGATCCTCTTCCACGGTGGATTGCAGCAACTTCAAGTCTAACTCCATCGGCCGGCCGGACCTTGGAGCATCTTAGAGAGAAAAAT